GTGACACAGTTCATGTTGGAATAAACCGACAGTGAGGCCAGGACGACTTCAAGGTAATCACCAAGTGCAAGGTCTATCAAACGTTTTGCTTCCCAACTTTGCTGTACGCCCTAGAATATGCACCAAGAATATCAAGAGCTTGACAAGCTTTTGATGTATTTATTCAGTTATTCTCTTGCTTTCAGTTAAACTCCACCAGTGTTGAACTATGCAAGAACATTTCTCATAACATATTTCGACTCTCTCTTTCGGATTCTAAGTAGAAGCCCCCTCTCCCCATCACATGTTCATTCCACAGAATTCTCAACATACTTCTGTAGAACTACATTTCATCAGGTGAAAATCCAAGGAGCGTCTGCATCGGTAACCGGCGGCTTCTGGTCGTTCCTGTCTCTGCGTCTGTGGTAATCCCGCGGCAAGCAAGAACGTTATCCGAGTAGGCCTGGGTACCCTTCTGTAATTTATCCCAAGAATCTTCTTCTCATAACAGGAAAAAGCCGGCTCAATCCGCCCAGGGTGAATGCCGCATCAGTACAGTACAGTACAGTACATTTCATCTGCCTCGAGTTTTCTCTTCATCTGTGAGAAGATTCTGCATCACCCATGAGGGAGAATACATTGTTTAGAAGCTATCTTTAACAAATCTGTCTAAATTTCTGAGATGAGGTATAATGTACATTATTTACATTATTCGCACTATTGTCCTGATCTTTGTCGCCATATTTATTACAACGTTTAGGCCGTTGTACGCACCGACCTTCTTTAGGTGGTTGGAATGTCGAACTGAACCCTTTATTTCGCTCACTGGGGTAGGCTGTTCTAGTTCCACGTGCCATGTTTTAATGGATGTCTGTTATCAGTTATCTCCTGTTAATTCCCCTCTGAAAGTTGCCTTAACCGGATATTGAACTCACACTCTTTGGGTCCTGTGACTGGATCTAACCAACGCTTTTATCCCCTGTGCCATGTGTCAGTAAGCGAAATAAAGAGTTCAGTTCGACATTCCAACCACCTGAAGAAGGTCGGAGCGTACAACGGTCAAAACGTTGTAAAAAATATGGCGCCAAAATGAGGACAATAGTCCGAATAATGTAAATAATGTATATTGAATCAATTGCTAGGTCTGCTGCTAGGAAAGTTAATTCACTGGGTTGGGCTAGATAATTTTTTCTCTCCAGAATATATCTTATATATTTATGTCTACCATTCGTGCATGCTTTGATTATTGCTGTCACATATGATCTGGAACTCCTGCAATATATTTAGAGAGCTTTAATAAAATCCAACGAAGAACCTGCAAGGTTATTAGTCCCGATGGGATTCAATAACTTTCCTAGCGCTGTGATATAGTTCTTTATGCCATTTCTCTGAAGAGTTTCAAGGTAATTGTTCTGATAAACTTTCCTCTATGGTATCTGGAGTTTATGAACTTAATCGCAATGATAGATTGGCAGTAAAATCTCATCATTTTATAGTTGAAATGCCGAGATACAACTTTAAGGTCTATTGTAAATGTCTCTTTCTTCATACTTCTCGCTTCCGTATTCATGCTTCTCCGCCAACTTTAAGTTTGTTTTGTTTTACGGCATATCAATCTCAATGGGTCACTTAATGTCGATAACATTTTTTTTTCTTCTAATATTTTTGTTTTGTCAAAAATCTAGTTCTGTTAATATTTATTTTCAGAAATGTTTAGCTGGTAATATTGTTTTTTCAAAAACGATGTAGTTTACCGTCTTACCCAGGACGCGGATGTAGTTTATCGTCTTACCCAGGACGCGGATGTCGTTTATCGTCTTACCCAGGACGCGGATGTAGTTTATCGTCTTACCCAGGGCGCGGATCTAGTTTATCGTCTTACCCAGGACGCTGATGCAGTTTGTCGTCTTACCCAGGACGCGGATGTAGTTTATCGTCATACCCAAGACGATCAACTTTAAGATTCAAAAATATAAATGCAATGTCAATCAATATCTATTGTCTTTTTAATTCATCTTCTTTTAATGTCTTTCTTTTCTCTCATATTCTTTAATAGTCCGTAATTCCTTGTGTTTTAGTTGGTTTACCGTCGTGCTTGCTGTGAAATGATAAAAAAAAGAAAACTTCCCTTGACAGTTAATTCTAAATGGACTGAAATCCACCATTATTATGTAAATTACTGGCCCTCTCTTATCTTTCTGATAGTAAATTTCTTCTTTCTTTTGGACTGATCACGCCCCTGTAGTTAAGTATCCCATAATCAAGTAACTGGCGCATTTGCTAAGCTTCAGGTTTTTCGAGGAAAAACATCATCCAAGTGGATAGGTGAAGTGGCCTCATGCAAATTCCATTCGGAAAAAAAAACGTTAGACGTCAGTGTCAAATTAATAAGTATAATCGGGTTCTATACAAGAAATAATATTACCAGTTTGAAATTTGCCATTTTAGGCATTGTGATATCCATGATATAGTAATGCTTTAATACACAGATTGTACAAAATATCTGAAAGAAAGGAATAACATACATAAGTTGTTCTGAAAGAGACGTTTTATATCGATATATACATACTTATTCCAAACTTGTCCCACATAGAGAAACTATAATAAATTTATGCAACAAGCAATGGGAGAGACAAAAAATAGTGTGTTACTTGTAATATTTTCCAACTGGAAAAGATCAGGTCTCTGTTGTCGCTTATGTTTTCTTTTCTGAGTCTACGTGGTTATCTCTGTATGTGTTACTACCATGCCCTTGAGACATCCGTCTTAATCGGGGCTACATAGCAATTGACGTTCGAAAATCTATAAACTGACGTCATCTATCGGTCGTCAGGTGGTAGTTGTGACTTCTTCTCATTCAAAAGGAGCTAATCGCAATTTGCTTCCCTATTAGTATACTATACTGCCGTAGACGAAATAAACATTTGCGGCTGAGTGTGACAAAAACCCAAAGTGGACGGATCTTTATAGTGGTTAAAATGACTGAAAAACTAAGATGATAATGATAACGGGCCGGAATAAATGAGGACAAAGAATACGATAAGGAAACATTTAGGGAAGAAGATGAAAAATCTTTGTAGAAATTTAACGACTTATTACATTAGAAACAACAAAAGAGTCTTGAAAGCTTCAATCCTTGTGCATTGCCATGAATGCTGGACAATCTCTTCCATATATGAAGAGAAATTGGCAGACGGCAGAAATGTGGTTCAACAGAGGGATACTGAGAATTATTTAGAAAGTTCGCGTAATCAATGAATAAGCTTTATGGTATCTAAAAAAAACATACCCAGATTTTGAATGAGGCAGCTGAGATTTCTTGGACACATAATGAGGAAAGAGAGTTTGGAGAACTTGACCCGCATAGGGCAAGAGATAAGGAAAACAGTGAGCTTGTGTAAATGGGCAGTAACACAGGGTAGAGTTGGAGTCTTTGTCTATCATGGCCTAAGATCAATAGGTGGTTGTCGAGGGATATGATACCCCTGGCCCTGAAGAGTAACGCCATTAGAAGAGGATGTAGTAGTAGTAGTAGAAGAAGAAGAAGAAGAAGGAGGAGGAGGTGGAGGAGGAGGAGATGATGAAGGAGGGGGGAGGAGTTGGAAACAAACGTTGCGCAGAAGAATCGGACCGGAAACAGGACAGAAACAGCGCGAGTTTTTCAAAGACACCAGAACAAGCAACGAAATAGTTATGCATAGGATGTTATCAGAAAGAGCGATACAAATGCAGAAGAATGTGTAGCTGTGTTTCACAGATTACGCAAAGGCGTTCGATAAAGTGTGACGCAAAGATCTGTTGGAACTGCTCAGTAACTTTGATATACAGGGTGTTCCAGAAGTCTTGGGCAGATTTCAATTCCTCATATCTGCTGAACTATGAATGATAGTATGATTATGTAATTAAAGACAAAGTCTTAGAGAAAATGGAAACAGAAAAGAAATTTATAGTTAAAATCACGAAACTACTGTTGAAAAATCCAGGCTATATAATGAGGAAAGAGAGCTTGGAAAATTTGATACTCACAGGACAGATTATGGGTGAGAGAGACAGAGAAAAACAAACATAACATAATTGCTGAGCAAAAAGACAAAATTTATTAAGCGTTACAAAGCAGAGTAAGTTGTGGAGAGTCATGATTGTCTATGTCTTCAGGGAACACGGCACATAAATAAGTAGAAGAAGCCTTCTGAGAATGGATAGCAGAACGATGAGTAAGAGGGGTGGTAATGAGAAAAACATTGCTAAGAGCCTATATAATATGGGAGACTGGAAGACATTATTAAGTTCTTAAGGGACACGGTACATAGAATTAAAAAGAAAAGTATGTCGTGAAATCTTCAATGGATATTAAAAAAGGCTGACTGATATTTATGAAAGGCATGTGCTCTATGAGCCAGAAACAGGTTTATATTTATTTCGAAAAAGATAAAACTGTTAGCTCTACAAACTAATCAGCTTATTTTAAACGATAAAAAATACCCAACCACATTAGGCGTGAAAAGGTAATTATCAAAACATGGCCAGTATCTCATTTGGATAAAAGAAATATGAAAAGAAAATGAAGGAAACATTTAATTGTGTTATGGCGCTGAATAAAATTATAAAACTTTGAAATAAACGATTTATATCTCTGCTTTTATCTCCATTACTCGCCAAGGAGCTTAATATGAGATTATTAGAATATTCGTGCTGAAAAAAAAGTGGGTTAAACTATTCAAAATGAGGGAAAAAAAACTAGTAATATCACCGGCAACGTCATCCAAAATCAATTTTAAAATGGCTACAAGAAAACGTATTCTGGAGGTTTTCGTTCCATTAAAAAAGTATTTTTCTGACTTTATTAATTTTAGCTCTAAATTAAATTTGTTATTTTTTTAACCAGCTGAGGATGCGTTGATATTTTTTTTCACAAGAGAGAAACGAATTTGAATTGAGAAAAAAGTTTCAATATATTGTCTATAAAAATGGAAAAAATTGCCAACTACATAATGTCGAAAGATTTTTGGATATATTATGTCGATACAGCGGTTCTCGTACGATCACTGAAGTTAAGCAACGTCGAACCTGGTCAGTACATAGATGTGTGACCTTGTGGAAAGTCTAGGGTTTGTAAGCTCTGATGTGTGGCAAGTGTAATAGGTAATTGCTCGGAATTGTTAATCGAAGAGCCGAATACCATTTCCAGATAGGTTCGTTAATATTAACATTTTAGTCAATATAATATAATATAGATCCCGTTTTTTTTAAAATGCCAAATATAATTTTTTAGATTAAATAACTGTAATCCAAGTATATTGAGATTGGGTGTCGTAGGTTTCTGGGATATTCGGTCATTTCCTTCCTTTCAAAAATAGGCATCACTGGCCGTTGTTTGGAAAGTGTTTTTCATCGCATTCAAACAACAGTTCAGCATGCTTCAAGTTGGATTTGGTCGAGATCATAACAACCAGAAAATAAAACGCGCGCATCGACCTAACATGCGCAAGAGAAATATTTGCATGGTCATCTATAACGATTTTGTTACCCCTTACCAAAAAGCAATGGGAACAACAGAAGAATAAGTAATACAGTAATACAAAGTACATGTACTGGATTCAGTTTGTTCACTTTCATTGACGCTGTTACACATCGAAAATGTCTAGATGAACATCCATCATTTTCCTGGCACAAAATGATGCGGCGCCATGGCCTTTGTAATATTTTACGAAGTTGTGCTTTGTTAATTGTTGCAAAGGTTTTCGGAATATGGTCCTTCAACTGATGGGTATTCTGGAATCGTTCATGCGAAACTCTCTCCTTAATAAAACCCCCACAGAGTTTTAAAATAGAAAATTATATCATGTACGAGTGAAAAGACTTTCGGACAACCGTGTGTGTCTATATATATATATATATATATATATATTCATGAATTATTCATACAACAAACAAATACAAAGGTTAATGATTACAATAACTCATTTCTAATAGCATTTTTCGGATTACAATACATATATTTTTCGTTGTCCTCTTATTACTGAGAGTAAAAACAAAAAAATCTATTCCATACCTGAGGATGTCTGTAGGAACAGAGGAAAGCTTGTAAAAATGATAAGAACTTATGCAACAGAAATTTATAAAAACAAGGATCTTTTCATTCATAAACAGGTTCGGGGTTTTTTGTATATTATTTAATTGTATTGCGACGATGGATTTCTCGCCAATTAATTCATTAAACTTTGTATTTGTTTTTGTATGAATAATTCATGAATTTGTAAATTAATTGCATCTTTATTGAAATTAATATATATATATATATATATATATATATATACACACACATCAATTACAGTTTGTTTATAACTGGTGAAATTCATAATCTCTTTGTCTCTTTCTCTCTCTCTCTCTCTCTCTCTCTCTCTCTATATATATATATATATATATATATATATATATATATAGATAGATAGATAGATAGATATAGATATAGACTAGCAGCTTGGCCCGGCGTTGCCCGTGCTTGATTCAAAAATCATACGACTCATACAGCAATCGCTATCACTTGACTTAAAATATTTTTGCCCTTCCTTGCCTTTAAAGGAGTGCTCTTTGCCGTGCTGATGTTGCTACATGCCTTACTTCTTGCTATTTCTCACACTGCGAATTTTTTCTAAGCTCTATACTAAACATTAAGTCTGTTACAAAAAAAGAACTAAATAAAATGAACACAAAACCATCAGCTTTAAAAAAGGACTCGTAACTGGAAAAACCGAATGAAAAAAGAATGTTAACAACAAATACTTTTTCACACCCAACCCAGTTCTGCGGAATCAGAATCAACGTTGAGTTTAAGCAAGCGAATGAGCCAATTGGAGTAAAGTGCCATGCAGATTTAAATTTTTCCCACTTTTGACGAATGCAGCTATCGATATTTTTTTGCATGCTAGCATGCTAGTTAACATTCGTGTCAGTCAGCTGTTGGCTCTCACGATGGCCAATAGAATCTTCCTGCCTATTCGTGGCAGCCAGCTATTGGTTCTCACTCTGGCCAGTACAAAACTGTCGTAGAAGCATGAAAAAATCGATTGTTTCCACTATCGATGGGAGTTGGGAAATGCAAAGTAGGTCTTGGCCATCCCGCTACCTTGGATCATGTGCACGTAACTGTAGGTGCAAATCCGTCGAAAATTGCGGCCGTGCATTCGTTACACACACACACACACACACACACACACACACACACACACACACACACACACACACACACACACATATCCTGTCTTTTATAGATAGTGATATGCAATGTATGTATTTATTTATGCATATTATTATGCATGCATTTAATATATATATATATATATATATATATATATATAAATTTAAAATCATAGATCTCTATCTATTCATCTATTCTGTCTGTTTCTATCTTTCTATCTATCCCACTCTATCTATCTATCTATCTATCTATCTATCTATCTATATATATATATATATATATATATATATATATATATATATATATATATATGTTAACTAATGAAGAGAAATGTAAATGTCATACCTTTGTGACCTACTTCAAAGTGTCTTATATAAAGCCCTCCTCAGGGTCGAATCAGTATTTTTATATTATATAAATTTTATTATCTGACTTTTATGCGCGTTTTATACGTGAAATTTTCTTCATCCTTTAACTCGCGTTTCTCAAGTTTACTTTATTGTAAAAAGTGTCATCGCCTTTCGACGTGACAACTTATAAGAATTCCTGGTGTTTTAATCAAATCATTCCAAGCAAGAGGATAATGCCACTAAGACACAAAAGGTTACTTTGAGTGAAAGCAACTGAGAAGACTTTAGAAGGTACCGGACACCCGGCCTTAAACAGGGGAAAAGGGATAAACCCCTACACTTGTTTAAACGTCGGAGAGGAGTGTGAACCGGGCAATAGGTGAAACTATCTAATTTAAATATATAAATAGTGAATACAAGTTCAGAGTTATTAAAGTGGTTGACGTTAGAATTATCGAGTTGAAGTACATTTTTAGAAGGAACCGGAAACCCAGCCCTAAACAAGAAACAAAGGAATCACCTCTACTCATGTTCAAATGACCCAGAGGAGTATGAACCGGGCGATATGCAAACCTGTCTGCTCTTACCGAGTGGATAGGCTTTATAGATTTTTTTTTATTATATAGATATACACGTATATACATATGTATATAAAAATTAACCTCGTTTCATTGGTTGAGTTTTAAAAGGATTCAAACACGATTTCCTACATTTAATCTACGTAATGTAATATGGTAAATAAAAAAAATAACATTTCTCGGAATTGTTTTAACAAAATAGAGTAAATGAGAAATCCGAGGGCGCATTGGGAAGGGCAAAGATGTTTTCCAAAAGAGAAAGAAAGTAGCCATTTTCCAGGCGTAGCTTAGATGTGGCACCAGGCCGAATGTAAGGGGCACCCAGTGAGGATCGGTCTCTCTACTCACTCGTAATTGCTGTAATGACAGAAGCTTGCTAACTATTTCAACACCTCGAGGTTCACAAAGAGAAGCAAAGTTTAATGAATTAAGAAAATTTTCTTAGAAACAAAGGAATCAGTATTGAACAGTCTTTCTATATCAATGTTCCTACAGGGCAGTGAATTCTGAACAATCCCGTCAAAGGTGAAGAAGAAACTTAAACAATAGAAATGTTGTTCTACAGAAGGATGCTGAGAATAGCATTGTTTGGACAAGTGAGCAATGAGGAAGAATTAGACAAAATGGAAGTAAACGTTCACTTATACATAGCACAATAAAGAGACATTTGAAATATCTAGGGCACATAATGAGGAAAGACAAAACATATTGAAGACAATAAGTCTAGAAGAAATCCCACATATCCTACCTAACGAGCTTGTGTAAATGACTGGCAAAACAGGGATAAGGAGAAATACAAAAAAATACTGGGATACAAAGGATCGGAAATAGTAGAGAGCCATGATTGCCAACTTCCTGAAGGGTCACGATACATAGAAGAATGTCAGGGATGAAATTTGAAATACAAAAATACATAATTTTGCAACATTTAAGTAATATGTTTCTAACGCTAAAATGTAAATATCAAATGTGCTTTTTTTTAATCCCAAATTATTTTATTAAGAATGAATGCATTTTCACTATAAAATCTTTGTTGATTGACATATTGTGAAATGTCTGCGAAGTTTATTCCACCTGATACAGAAACAGTTGAACGCAACAAGGCAGGAATACATATACAAAATGGCAGCCTGTATGCGCGTGTCTGTTGTGAAGAGGCAAGAAAATAATTTAGATTGGAACAAATTTTATTCACCAACCAGACATTATCTTTTACTGGCTTTGAATGGTTTCTTTCTTTTCTCCAGAAATTTGGCCGTTGGTCAGTTTTACTTCGTCTACCTTTCCTCTGAATCTACTCACAACATCTCACCAAATAGCAATGGACGGTAAACACCCAGCAGGTATTCTGACATTTCAAGATAGAATTTTCACTGAAATCCAGAGGCAAAGATTATTAACGCCTTCCATCAGAATCGGGCGAATCGAAACTTGATGCAGCAGATTATTTGTCATCTTACGTGATATGGTGTCCTTACTTATGGAGCCCTTTATTTATCGGCGATTTGGGGGCTTTATGGTGTTTTGTTTGGAACATGCGATTTGCATAGTTAATATGACTGAACGGCATGTTTGACCACAAAGAATATATGAAGAAAATCTTTTAAATGACAGAAATATATGAACTAACAGCAATATCATGATAAATACTGAGATAGATAGATAGATAGATAGATAGATAGATAGATAGATAGATAGATAGAAACAGGTGCCGATAGATAGATAGATAGATATATAGAGAGAAACAGGTGAAGATAGATAGATAGATAGATAGATAGATAGATAGAAACAGGGGAAGATAGATAGATAGATAGATAGATAGATAGATAGATAGATAGATAGATATGAACAGACTAAAATAGTTAGGTATCTAACCCGCTTGATAGATAAATCGTTAGATAGCAAGAGACTAAAATAGATACATACATATATATGAACGGATTAAAATAGGTAGCTAACACGCTTGATAGATAGATAGATAGATAGAT